ATAAGACAAAAATTAAGACCAATGGAAGGTATAGTACATAGGTGTAAATGATGTGATAGAATGGATCATTCAAGAAGAAAATGTGAAGATTTTAAAAAGTCATTATATAAAGGAATTATTTTTTTAAAAGATGGTATGATATACTTAAAAAAAAGTGAAAAAAAATTATAGTTAAGTTTTGGTAAAGAGAGAATGAAGGTGCTTACAAAAGAAGCATTCAAAATATCAAGCAATAAAGCATTCTTTTGTAGAAATACAATTAGGTAGAAGTAAATCTTGACAAATTTTTAAGCATAAATCTTGATTTTTCAAAAGAATCTAATTTTTTGTGGTCAATTGCAATGGATTATGGTGAAAAAAGAAAATTTACAAGAGATGATTTAAAATTTATTCGCAATAATATTTGAAAAATTATTACGTGGGATGATTAAGTAGATGGATTATTGGTTCATATTCATATTACAAGGAATAAACATGAAGCAATAATAGAAGAAAAATAAAAGAGAGATGAAAATAATAAAGGGCCATCAAAAAAACTACAACAAAAGAAAAATCACAACAACAAAAGAATCCTATGCATGAAGAAGAAAAAGAGAATATTTCTACAAAAAAAAGAGAAATTGTGAAAAATAAAAAGCAAAGGCTCTTGCTTATAAATTACAATTAGATATTGAGGTTGCTACCAATTTAAAGGAGATATTAGAAGAATAGATTTTATGTAGAAAGGTTGAATTTTTAATTGGTAAAATTTTAGAAATTAAAAAGTATGAATTTTATGAAGTTATCATTGATACTATAAAGAATAAAAAGACAATCTATAGGAGATACTATAACATCAAATGTACAAGAAATAGAGGCAATGAAAAGTAGTATAGATGAAGGGAATGAGATGTAAAATTTTGGAGATGTTTTGCAAGTTAGATTTATATTAAAAAAAGATGTTATTTAAGCATCTAGTCATTATTTTTAAAATCATTAGATAAGAGCTACTATAGATATTTTAGTAAAATTAGAAAAATTAGAAGAACCAATTATAGAATTATTTGATCATAGTTTCAAAATCAATTTGATATCAAAAGAATTATATATAAAAAAATTTGCCTATTGATATTTAATATGGATAGATGATAAAATCAGAAAACAATTCAAAGCAAGATTTATATAGAGCTTCATCAAATATATAAATATGAGATGTTAGTCATGAACAAAATTTCTTTATACAAGACATGTCTATATATTCTATTATATTAGGACAACTATATATAATTGCTACACAAATAGAAACAAAGGTTATGAATGATGGTTTGGCTATGCAAGAATAAAAAATCAAGATGTAAAGAAGGCGGTGCAATTTTTAATGATTTATTCAAATTATGAAAGAAATTGGAATAGTTTAAAAGAGTATCCTTTGCTAAGGATACAAAAAGAATTTGAAAATCTTGACAACTCAAAAGTTATTTTTACTAATGGCCAATGTAAAATGAGGTTGCAATGATAGAAGAGGTAATGGCTTCTTTCATTATAAAAGAAATGAGGCCGTTATAGGATTATCATGGAATGAGTATATTTCATTTAAAAATATAAATAATTTTAGAAGGATAGAAAAAAAAATCCAAAATATAGAACATGAATTGAAGGAATGTGGAGTGATTGATGAAGATGAATTCATATCAAAGATATTTGAAGAATCTTGCTTTGATAATATTATAGATAATTTGTAAATATTATTAGATTTAGATTTTGAAGGTGGTGATAAGATAATAAATTTACATTCTAAATAATTTTATAATAGAATAAAAAAATATGTAGATAAGTATAAAGTAAAGGTGAATACAAAATATAAGCCTATTGCAAAGAAAGTTAAACAAGTAGCATTGCCACTACCATTAGATTTTGAGGAAAGGATTGAAAAAGCTTCTAATGAATCCAATTTAAAAGATCCAAGAAAAATAGGTCATGAGTTTAAGGATGAATTGACAATAGATGATTTGAAAGTTGGATGTGAAATTTTTTTAACAAAAAATAAAAAGAGATATTTCAAAAAAATATTTTTATAACATAATAAGGTATTTACATTTGAATCATATGAAATAAGGTACGTTGATTTAAGTATTGTTGTACCTATGGTTATTTTTATAATTTCATATGAACCATAGAATTTAAGGCCAATTCTAATTTTAAAGGCTCATTTGTCAAATCTAATTGAATTATTCAATGAAAAGATTAAGATAGAAATTTTAGAATTATCTATTGTACCATATTCCAATTACTTATTTATAATACCTATGAAAAATAAAACATTGAGGTTTATTCAAGATATGCAATTGGTAAATAAAACAAATATTAAAAATATGGATCCAAGTCCAATTGTGGATGAATTTACAGAGATATTTATAGGAACAACAATTTATTATATAGAAGATCTTTATTCAGGATATGATGAATTTCAATTGATACTATAAAGTAGAAATTTGACAACTATAAAGACACCATTAGGATTGGTTAGAATGTGCATATTACCGTAAGATGCTACAAACTCTATAGTACATATGATGAATGGAATGTATAAAGTAGTAAGAATTTTTATTCAAAGAATAACAATATCTTTTCTAGATGATGTGGCAATTAAGGATATAAAATAGAAAGAAAAGATGAGACATTCGATTCAAATATCTGTAAGAAATTTAAGACAAATCGTATTATTAATTGTGAGAAGATTTTGACAAGGTTAGAAGAAGTTCATTTAAATTTATCAAGGACAAAATGAATATTTGGAGTAAAAGAAGTTTTGGTAGTAGGATACATGTATAGATCATATAGATGCAAGCTAAGTATGAAAAATATTGATATTATTAAAAAGTTCAAAGAATGTGAAAATATAATAGAAATCAAAAGGTTTTTAGGAGCATGTATTTTCTATCATACATGGATACTTCATTTTGCACATATAGTAGATCTATTATATGAATTATTAAAAAAGAATAAAAAAATTAATAGAAAGAAAATAAAAAAAGCTATAGAAATTTGAAAGAATTTCTTTTTTTACTTCCAACTTTAAAGAAAATAAATTATAAATATGGAAGGTTAGTGATATTAATAGTGATACAAATCTAATTTGAATATGTTAGACAATTGGACTAGATGATGAACAAAGAAGTAGATATGTAGTAAGTTTTGGACCAAAGGATTTGAATGCTAAACAATGGGCATATACAAAAATCAAAAGAAAATTTTAGAATAAATCAATATCTATAAAAAATGAAAAGTAATACTTGATTGATACATTGATAGTTGTAAAAATAATTTTTTTGCCTTTATTAAGCATGATTATAAATTATTCAATTCTTAATATTGCTATATTAAGATAGATACTTTTCTTCTATTCTTTGAATGCTTCCATAAATATGCTTCCAGAAAAGCTTCACCATCTCTATCGAACACAAGCTACGCTACAAGTACTGTCTACCACACAGGGCTTGGTAAGATCATGATTTTGCAAGAACATCCTTTGATAATCATGTTTATTCTCAAGAGCTCATATTCAGATCTCCCGAAGATGTTGATACTGGAGAAGAGAGAACCTTCAAGGATAATTGCAGAGGTACTGGAACAACCTCACCGATTCACTTGAATGAGGAGCTCCAAGGAAGGAGCAAAGAAAAGGGGTATTGCGAGAGCGTCAGTGTGATCAAGTAGTCACCCTCATCGGTACAATCTCCACCAAAGAATGATGATGTGGCTAATCCTGGAGGTAGTGGTCGCAAGCGAAAACTGAAGAGTGCACGGTCTGAGTCGACCTGACATGACGTGTTCAGAACTCACTGTCTCGAACAGCACACATTTCAAGTGGAAAAAGGATAGGAGCTTTTTGTTTTGAGAGAGTGATTAATGGCGGGTAGGCACACAGATATTTATGTTGGATCTACAAGCGTAATAATCTCGATTGACCAACTACTTGAATGCGATACTCGCCATTGAGTCTCGGATTGAACGTGATACCGACCACTCTTTAAGAAGCGGAGTCGTTCTCACTGTCAAAAATTGAACGGGGTTCTGCGGACGAAGTGCTGAAACAAGGAACAACTTGGCTTAGTTTGAACGATCACGCCATTATTGAAACATCCAGGACTGAGGAATCCCACCAAACATGACTCGATATTGGACCCTAAAGAGTATATGCTACAGCCTCATTGTCACTGAGGATCTATTCTTGCGATGTGGTGGTGACGCGAGGGAAGCCATCTAATTTGTCTACCCTGCCGAATATATATTATATTATCATTACCCCAGCTTGTATCAAATGGCTTATATCCACTTGCCAGTGCATCTAGTGGGGTATTAGCCCATACGGTGGTCCTAGCTATACGGCCATAGTTAGTAATGAAATAGATTCTGAATGCAACCATTAAGGAGGCAGAAAGGACAGGGGTCGGATTGTCTACATCCACGATTTGTACAAAAACTCTTGATTTGCACGGACTCTGATTTGCAATGATTCAGACAACAGCACCAACTCCCATCAAGCGATTCACGCCATCCCAGCCTGTCGTGCATTGTAGTTGTCGTGGCTGCATCCAGCTGTCTGGATCTGCAGAGCTGATGTGCAATGCGTCTCATTTCCAGCTGTCCGCAAAAATTTGAAACATCGTTGGTTGCGTTCAGCGTCAACACCTTCACTTGTTGGTTACCAGAACAATCGATGCCCCCAAGGCTTATCAGATATCTCGTGGGCTAGCCTCTACATCTAAAACCAGTGCATGCAGTATTCGTCCTTCCACTTGCATGTCTGGAGGAGAAAGCCACGGACATTAAGGACCTCCAGCGAGCCCATAAAAACGCTGTTTGCGTGTCTCGTTTTCCCACGAGCTGTCAGTTCTTAAATAGTACCATTAAGTGCATGAATTAGCTGTCATTCGGATGCAATGATGCAAATCATGATCGGAGCTTGAAAGTTACTGTTGTATACACTCGATGTGAGTCTTCTCCTGGTTTTTTTATTTTATTTTAAGACTTCGAAGTTGGGGATCGAGCAAAGCAACTGTTTATTGCGTAGTTGTCCTGTCGAGAATGCCGGCAGAATATGTTCTGGTTTTTGCTATTATTGATTGAGTAGTTGGTATATGTGGAAGTTCGACCAGGTAGTATGTGACCGGTTGAATCACTGTGGTGGTCGACTCCGCTATAAATAATGTAAAGGATGCCGGGTTGGTTCCGGCATTTTCGCATGCAAGTCATGCCGAAGGTGGTGTCGACTCGAATTCTGTGTGGAGTTTTTGGTTCTGACGATTATCCGAGTTCGCTTGGGGTGATTAGATGAGAGTGTTGCATTGAGCTCATGAATTAGGAGGGCGGAATTGTGGACGGGCAGAGGGAAGGCGAAGTCGCTGTCGATAGCGAAATCCTCATGGATAATAGTTAGGGTTTAGTGCTAATCAGCGAAGAATTTCGAGGATTTTGTAGCCATGAGAATGGCTGGCTGGTTAGCGTTTGGCCTTCTTCTCCTCATCCAGGTACTTCGATGACGTTTTGTGGTTTGAAAACTACTTGAATCATAGGAACTAGTTTCACTGACGCTGTTTTTCATGTACATTGGAGGAAATTACCACCAGCGAAGTTGTAATTGCTAGACACTGTAGGCGTTACTAGAGTAGCCATCGCTTGAACCTTCAAGATTAGAAGCTTATGGAGGTTTTGGCGATGACTTGAATGGATCGATCATTAAGTTGCAGCACCCGCTGTATCGTCTTTCAGGAGACTAGTCATCTTCAAACTCTGCAAACCAGTAATTGTGAACACAATGTGAAGTCTCCGTGGATTACTATCGCCGAGTTTTATCAATAATGAACCTAATTCATGTTGCTAGAATACCTTTAAATTTTGTGATTTAGTGAGCCACAGGGTCGCTGGACTCGTGGAATACATATCGCTCCTGAGTAGCATAGAGATCTGAGAATAGTGGATGTCGCATTAAGGGTCCATGTCCCAATGCACTAGGTGGGAATATTTCCTTCTCATAGGAATGAGACTGTAATTGTTCTCTTTACTATACTCTTCACCCGAATCATCTGGTCGGTAACGCAAAAGCTTTGATAAACCGTTTGAACTTGTCCTTGTCTCGTTTGAGAGCTCAAGATTTGTAGAAACCCTGCAGAAGTATTTTCAGTTGTTTTTTTACAATCTCACTGACACTAGCCACAGAGAATATGGGAGAATGAGCCGAGTTATTTAGGGTATTCTGCAACTCATGTATAATGAGATGGTGTATCAACCTTACATCAGGTGGTATAATTTTGCGGCTTCGTATCGTGCTATGGGTATGCAGAAGATGGGATCCAAGACATGTGGTGGGAATAACACAAATTTTTATTACGCCTCATAATGCTTAAGTTGGCATTGTAGGAAGTAGATTTCCTGTTCTTCTTGACCAATCTGCATCGTCATAGTCTCAAAGACTATATTCAGAGCTGTGGCTCTATATTATTTTACTTAACATAATTGTAATCTGTTATATTAGTGCAATTACGTGAAAATACTCAAGTTCTCAGTATAATGGTTTTGTGGGTTGGCTGGGCTTCAGGCCGCAGCTCCAGTGTTGGGGCTTGACACGTGTGCTATGTATGATATTTGTGGAAATCGAACCGATGGGAAACCACTCAATTGTGCAACTCCCTCTCCCGCAGTCACTGTAAGATTCTTCGCACATTGTATTGACTCATCATTCAGTTTCGGTGAATTTTTAGACCTTAGTCTCTTCACATTTATGTTTTATAAGTTGCTGCTTCCTGTTGCCACTGTGGAGAATATCTGTTCTTTAATTTCAGTTATTCAAGCGTCTGGGTGTTCGTTTTCTCAATACTATATGCCTGTGATATTTTTCATGTGCTATTTTGCCGAATAGTCTCAATATCTTCATAGAATTTTTTTTGACCAGTTGTTTTTGTCGCATTTCAGCCGGATAGAGCTTTTTCACTTAAACTACAAAGCCTGTGTCCCACGATCGTTGGAGATGTCTGTTGCACACCGACTCAATTCAACTTATTGCGGTCTAACGTTCAGCAGGTCTTTCCCATTTATTGCCTTGTTGGTTACAACGCTGTTGCAGCGTCTGGTGATCTACGTGCCTCTTTTCGGTTTAAAATGAGCAATTTTAATGTTTGCAATATATTCCCTTCCTTAGTATGTCTTAGAAGATATTCGTATCTTTTAGACACAGTTATTTAGAACATTTGTAGTCACCTGTTTCGATCTGACGTAGATATATTGGTCCTATCTCCCTTGGCAGGCTGTTCCTTTTCTCACTGGATGTCCTGCATGCTTGCGGAATTTCCTCAACTTCTTCTGTGAATTCTCGTGCTCCCCTAACCAAGGCTCCTTTCTTAATGTAACTGCTGTCAATGGGGTGAGTGCTATTCTTTGAATTTACGAAATGTTCATGTTCTAATTTATTTTAAAATCGTGCTGTTTGCTTGACAGTGTAAAGGTGTCTTTTGCAGTTGTGGAAACGGGTTGATGTCAGGATACTCTGGATTAAATTTGCTTTGTGTCGAAGCTCATTTTAACATCGTACGTGGATTTGTGTGGCGCAAGGACAGGCAAATAATGCCGTTGCTGCTCTTGAGTTCTTTATCACCGACGAGTATGGTCGCAAATTTTATGACTCGTGCAAGGATGTCAAGTTCACTTCCATGAACATTCGTTCCATGGACTTTATTGGAGGGGGCGCTCAAAATTACTCGGGTACATTTCAGTCCTTCTAGTGTAGCCTAGAGTGTATTAAGTTGTGACTCTTTTCTTACTCAACATCTGACTAACATGTGTTGGTGGTCCAGAGTGGTTTGCGTTTATGGGTAAAGAAGCTGCTCCTTCTTTACCAGGCTCCCCTTATCCGATCAGTTTCCGCACTGATGTCAAGGAAGGCAATCCTGCAGTAACGCCTTTCAATTCTTCCGTTATTGCGTGCTCCGATCCTTCCTTCGAATGTTCGTGTGGGGACTGTCCCTTGGTGAACAGCTGTGCTGAGCCAAATCCACCTGCTCCCTCTGAAACTAAAGGATGTCATGTTCAAATTGCCGGATCCCAGGTATTTATTGAAGGATTTCTGTTCTCGTGCTGCATTGGTGTTTTAACATGCGAATCTGATTGCTTATGGTATTAATTTGTGACCAGTTAGCTCACTTGCGGATTCTCAGTTATCTTCAAATATCACTCACGATATCATTGTGACTCATGTGATGTCGGTATCTTTCGGGATTTATAGTAGCTTTTTTGTTTCTTTTAAATCTTACAAGCAACTTTCAGGGCTTCATTATCACTCTTTTACAATCACCTCTGATTTATCGTGCAGGTTGCATGTTTGACTCTGGCCGTGATCATACTTTACGGATGCCTTGTGGTCATCATATTGGGCTGGTGGTTGATGTTCCGCTCACCACGGAAGGAAATGAGTTCGAAAGAGCGACTCAACCCAGATGCTCAAAGTGATCTAGCTAACAAAGCACAGCAAACTGATGTTGATTCTCAAATTCGCTCTCCTAATGAATTAGACCGACTTGATCCAAAGCATCAAAATCATCCAGCTAAGGTGCAGGTCTACACATTTTCTTGCTATGTTATACTTTCAGTTTTTATGGTATCAACATTTTACAAGAGGCTCACTGTAGCTTTTCGTACTGATTTCGAACGGATGTGAATTTCATTATTATTTAAATCGTGGTGCAGCGTACAACCCTCACTTAAGTAGTTGTGGCTAGCGAGATTACGTCAATGTATCATATGTCCACATCCTGCGCCGTTACATGTGGTAGATAACAATTCTTACTCGGGTTGTATATTTTGGCACATGTCTTCAGCTGGTTAAATTGCAATTATCAAGTTTCGTGACTCTAACTGAACACGATTCCTTTTACATTTAGGAAAATGAAGCCGTATCTCGGCTAGCAGGAGCAGGAGCACCTTTCATGGTAACTTTCTTGTCCAACAGATTCAGGTGCTCTGAGCCTTTCCTGCTGCCCCAGTTCTTTAATTTATATCAGATCTGTTTCCACTGTAGATTGATTTAAGAAATTTTCTGCACTTCTGACCATTCTTGTAAGTTCCTCGGAGTACTGTATTTTGATTCGAAGTGTTTGAATATATACAGAATATATGGGGAGTTGGTCGCCTACAATACGAAGAAGGTCTTGGCAATCGCTATTGTAATAACAGTAGTTCTTTGTTTGGGCTTGATCCGCCTTCGCGTTGAGACACGTCCAGAAAAGGTAATGTGACGCTTTCACCACATTTTATAGCTCAGTCTTCGCGCTGTTGCTTAATCGTGAGGTTTTAGAAGATTGGTCATCCGATACAGTTTGTGGAATGTCCTTTTGTAGCTTTGGGTAAGTTATGGAAGTAAGGCTGCAGAAGAAAAAAAGTTTTTCGACAGCCACCTAGCGCCCTTCTATAGAATTGAACAGGTACGAAACTTTCATGTTTACATATAATTTCTGCAATTAAATATGTACACCTTAGATTCGTATTGAAGTATCTGTTTGAAATTATTTGCACTCTAATTATTCTGGGATATTAAATATGTACACCTTAGATTCGTAACTTTGATTTCATTGCACTCCAACTATTCTGGGATGTAATTCTCTTATGCATATGGTAAAGATATTTGTATTATCTGCAATCACCAGTTATGATTGTCAATTGCCTGATATTTTTGGTGTGCAGCTCATTCTGGCAACAGTTCCAGGAAGCAAGGATTCGCCTCCACCAAGTATTGTGACAGACGCTAATTTGAAGCTTCTTTTCGACCTTCAAGAGAAGGTCTGATGTCGACAATTACCATCTTTCTTCACATGCTCTTATTCTGCAATTTCTTTCTGCATTTCTTGCTGAGGAGACACATACTAGCATCACCGAATGTTGTGGAGCCTAATGCTCTGTATATATTATTCGTTTTGAACACTAAGCCCTACAAGACTTGCTTTCTACTTTGTCCTTTGTGTAGGTTGACAATGTGCGAGGGAACCACTCTGGAAAACTGATCTCCCTTCAAGATATTTGTCTCAAGCCTCTAGGAACACCGTGCGCGACTCAAAGTATACTACAGGTGTGAGTTTTTCTATTTCTCTTAAGTCTGGCTGCCACTTTTTTCCGATTGTGTGTTTTTGTACTTGAAAACTAACGTATTACCGGTTTATTGTTAAAATCTGCAGTACTACCAAATGAATGTTAGTACATTTCAGGATGCCTCTCACGCAGAGTTCTGTTTCCAGGTATAACACCACAGAATTTCCTAATTTTTTCTTCGTCTCCAAGCACGTTTTCTTGGGCCACATGGAATGTATTTAGACGTTGACAATGTCCTTGCAATTTTTGTTAGGAACACTTTAGTTACTGTTTTCGTCTATACATGGCAGTGAAGTAGTTGTATGGTGGTTATGGCAGTACTATTCATCATCTGAGACCTGTCTCAGTGCTTTCGGTGGACCAGTAGATCCTACCACCATTTTGGGTGGTTTTACAGGGAATAACTATACCCAGGTCATTTGATCATCCATCCGTGATTGCTGTGGATTCTTATTTTAGCGTTTTCGTTATCAGTATTTTAAATTGGTTTGACTGCATTCTGCTAACATTATCTAATCAATCGTCCTCAGTTTATTGTAACTTCACGTGCTGATAGTTTTGTACTTAACCTTATTCATCATCCTTTTGTCCTGATAGTGATTGCCGTTTCTTACAGGCTACAGCTTTGGTGGTGACTTATCCAGTTATAAATGCAGTTTCAGGAGAGGGAAATGCTGCTGCCATAGCCTGGGAAAATGAATTTATTCGCGTTGTTAAGGTATTTGACTTATTCCTATTTGCCCCTTGGGTGCAGTCTCATTAAGAGATTTAAACATTTTGCACGATGATCACCTTTTTGTCTATATTGACATGTTCTATCTCTTGCGTCGTTTGTCCCACAAACACAAGGCTATGTATGAACCTTGACATCATGAAACATATTACTCCAGAAAGTATTATTAAGTATTCACAATAAGGTACTCACACTCAAAATTGTGTATTTTCTCAGGAAGAGATTGTGGGAATGGCAATAGCAAATAACTTAACCCTTTCTTATTCTTCTGAGAGTTCAATTGAGGCAGAGCTGAAAAGAGAAAGCTATGCAGATGCTCTGACAATTGGAGTAAGTTAATCGTGACCTATTATTCCTTATTAAACTATCTGCAGTTATGCTCTGTGCATAAGCATCAGTGTGGATCATCTCTTGCCCAATTCGAACGTTTTTGTTTCTGATGTATCAACGTAATATGATATTTATAGTTTGACTTGTACAAATTTTAAGGCCCTCTACCTGTAGCATGCATCTGTTCCATGACTTCATTGTTTTGTTGCTTCAGAACCAAGTCACTTGGCCTCCTGATGATGGTGGTGATTGTGGCAAGTGTTAATGGTACTTGTGGATTGATGCACAACACTGAAAATCTGTTTTTGTGTGCATGTTTTTGGCAGATAAGCTATCTTGTAATGTTTGTGTACATTGCCTTTACGTTAGGAGATTGGAATCCTTCTGTTGCTCCATTTTACGTGACTTCTAAGGTACAAATACTCCTTGATGTGTTTTTTGCTATCTCTTTTGGGGCGTAAGGAATTTTCTAGAGGCCACAGCTCTTTTGAATCCACAGAATTAATTGGATATGATGCAGTGATTTCGTTTTTGGCTATCCACTGTTACGGTAGTTAAGGTCTGTAGATTTTCACCTAGCATTTATTACGATGGTTTGTTGCCATTGAGTGCGGAAAACCTCACTTCATCGTGATGCATACTTTGAATCAAAATATGGCGCACAACATGTGGAAAGACGGAAAGAAAATTCTAGTTGGACAGATCGAAAGATAATCCGCCAAACGAATACTGATACATTTTCTACATCTATGTCTGTTGGATTTCTTCAAAGGTATTACTAGGATTCGTAGGAGTGGCCATCGTGGCTTTCTCAGTACTTGGATCCATTGGGCTTTGCAGTTATTTTGGAGTTCACTCCACATTAATCATTGTGGAGGTCATTCCATTTCTTGTTCTTGCGGTATGTGATGTTACTTTCTCTACCTCGGCCATTCATTTGTTCGTTTGTATGTAAGCCCTTCGTTTGAGTGGGTGGATTTTTGGACGGGGACAAGTCCAGCTACATAAGCCTTGTCATGACTAGGAGAAGCAGAAGTTTCGCACTATTTGTTACGGTGTATTTATTTAAAAGATTGAATTCATTTTCCAATGGGTTCATGTGCGCTCTTCCTTCACTGGCAGGTTGGTGTGGACAATATGTGCATCTTAGTACATGCTTTAAAACGTCAAGACCTCAATTTAAACTTAGAGACTCGTGTAGGGCTCGCCCTAGCAGAAGTGGGTCCTTCTATCACTCTTGCAAGCGTAGCTGAGGTTCTGGCTTTCACTGTGGGAATCTCCACCCCTATGCCTGCTTGTAGAGTGTTTTCTCTCTTTGCAGGTACTAGTTCTTACCGAAGCTTTTGTTGTAATGACTTTTGTTCTACAAATTTATGTGCTGCTGTGTAACCTTCATCTGATTTCATTCTGGATGTAAATTGCAGCGGTAGCGGTGTTATTGGATTACCTGCTACAAATCACTGCGTTCGTGGCTGTTCTTACTCTCGATTTCCGCAGAAGTGAAAGTGGTCGTGTAGACTGCGTTCCCTGCATTCATGTTGGAAGAAAGGAACCAGGTGACGTTTCATTGGGTGAGATTTTTCTCCAATAGAGTAGAAATCAAAACAGACAATTGTTCCAATTTTCAAAGCCTTGTGGTTGAAGTCTAATGCATCATATGAAGCAACTTACAGAGGATGCGCCCAATCCCTCAGAACCAGGATTGAAAAAGTTTTTTCGCTTGTATGAAGTTGACTGCTAAGACTCCAAATATTCTTTAATTCAGGATTACCAAATGAGCAACGTCATAATCCTGGTTTGCGTCAGCGATACATGAAGGTACAGTTTTCAGATGGCAACCTTTCTTTGTTCTTTGGTATTTGTTTATATACTGGTGCACTGCTTTTCAATTCCACTACTCTCGCTGACAATGAGTACTATTGTGAGGTTATGAATGCAAGTATTGTGGATGTAGCGCAAACTCACATGATGACATTTGTTATGATATCCTGAGAGCCCCGTCCAAAATAAATTTATTTGAAGAATGTATTTACCTCACTTGAATGATTCCTATTTTGTGCAACCCGCAGAATTATCATGCTCCATTTTTGAGTATTCCAGCAGTAAAAGCCTCTGTCTTGGCCATCTTCTTTGGTTTGCTGTTCGCTAGTATTGTAAGTCGCTGCGCTCACTTATGTCCTTTGATGCATAAGATTGATAGTTTCAAACTTATCTTCGGAATGGCAGCTTGTGTGATGTTTCCACTTATTCTCTTGAATACAGGCAGTCATTCCAAGAATTTCAATCGGTTTGGAACAGAAGATTGTTTTGCCAAGTGATTCGTACCTTCAGGTTTGTGCATGATCGCTACACATCTTGCATGATGGGTGCACGTTTTATACCATCGTAACTTGATGCTATTGATGTAAAGGTTAAAATTAACAGTACAGCACTGTAAATACACTATGCACTGTGGTTGTCTTCATATCATGCCATTTACTCGTGCCGCTAAAGCACAATTATTGATTTGCAGGGCTATTTTGACAATATAACTGAGTATCTTCGAGTTGGACCACCTGTATACTTTGTTGTCAAGGATTACAATTACAGGTTCTTGGAATCTATTTCCTTACAGTTTGTTCACCATGCTTTGTTCACCATTCAAAATGTTGAAATTCAAATTCATCATATAAATTGAAATCACCGAGGAATTAGAGTGTTAAACGATTTCAGTTTGTCTTTGGTAGAGCGAATGTTAAGGTGTACCAAGTGCATGCATTTCTGGTGTTGATGTGCGAAAGTCTCTTACACATCCTTTGGCTATTTGCAGCATTGGTAGCAACCAGACGAACAAGTTATGCTCCATCAATCAGTGTGATCCGAACTCCTTGCTCAATGAGGTAATCCTTTCAATCTCCACGCAGAAACTCAATTGCTGAGTGTAATACTGCAAACGTAGTTGTATGTAGTAGTATTAATGAGACAACCATATGTTCCTGAACTTGTACTAAACAGGTGAATCATTTTCTGTTCATAGATCTCAAGAGCAGCTTTGTCGCCTCAATCGAGTTTCATCGCTCGACCGGCTGCATCTTGGTTGGACGATTTCCTGATATGGCTGTCACCAAACGCCTTTGGGTGCTGCCGAAAATTTCAAGATGGAGGCTATTGCCCCCCAGTTGATCAGGTACGCTAGCTTGCAATCGGTTCATACGAGTGGGATTCAAGTTTAAGGATTTTTGTTGTTGATGTTACTTGGAATTAGAGTGCAATAGGACATGAATGGTATAAACGCTACATGGACCTAATTAAGTATTCTGTTCACCAAAATTTGAAGTACTATACTAATTTGTGGTCTTGCTTACAGTGTGGACTAAACAACACATGTAGTGAATGCACTACGGTAAGTCAGTCAACGTAGTTTTAGTCATTAATAGTCCGAAGGGTTTCTTTACTCGTAGATTTCCTCGATCTTCAGTCTGGACCAGTTGTGCTTTTCTGTGATGATTATTGAATGCTGTTTTTGGGTTGATCTAATAACATTTCATGTACTTCAGTATTTTTCGACGCTGTCCCTTTGCAATTTCAGTGCTTTAATATATGATATTGTTATGACCTACAAATTTGCCCTTGTTGATCTGCTGATGAATTAATATTTTCTATGAATAAACAAAAATTTGTGCAGTGTTTCTTGCAATCGGATTTAGTTGAAGGACGACCATCAACTGAGCAATTTCGGAGCAAATTACCATGGTTTTTGGCCGCACTTCCTTCTGCGGATTGTTCCAAAGGCGGCCATGGAGCCTATACAAACAGTCTTGACCTTGCTGGTACTCACCTCAACTATCACCTGTTCTACTATACTCTCAACTTCAGAAGTAATGACGCTGATGAGTGAACTTGTAACACAAAAATATGTCCAAATGTCGCAAATGATGGCTCTGGATCTACCCACATATACTTGTTGTGTGCTGTCATTTATTGGTGCTTTTTCTTTGCACAAATATTTCCGAGTGTATTGGTGAACCCCGGAAATTTTCTTATCCTGGAATATATTGCATGTTATTTGGCATTATCACAACTCTCCAGGATACGATAGTGGGATTATAAAGGCATCCGAGTTTCGTTCGTATCACACTCCTTTGAACAAGCAGGTATGAAGACCAGTTTTCATAAGTGTATGCATAGGCCCATGATATTATACCCTCTATTTCTCACTGTAGTGGTGGCCTCGCTCTAACAGTGTTGATATGGAGGGTGGGGTCGTTGTTCTATTCGATGATTGAATTACATATAGTAAAAATTCTGAAAGAGGATTTTTTGTTTGTAGGCCATGAATTGGTGGGTTGTTAATAAGGATCTCGTGTTGGTTTTCATTCTCTTTATTTTGGAAACTTGGTCTTCTTGCTCCAGTTTTTATCTTCTCTTGGTTGGTATTGGCATTGAATTGGGTCCTTACTGAATTTGTTGCAGAGTGATTTTATTGATGCACTTCGTGCAGCGAAGAATTTCGCCAAGAAAATATCCAAGTCTTTAAACGTAAGTTGTCATAATTCACCTGAGTGCATTTGTTTCTGTTCTTGTTTATGTTCATTATGATGCTACGACTTGAAGGTTGTTCAAATAATAACAGCGACGTTTTTCAAATTACTCTACCGTTTTACAAGTGTAATGCTGCTTGTGCAGATTGAGGTGTTTCCTTATTCAGTGTTCTACATATTTTTTGAGCAATATCTGGACATTAAGAACACTACTGCTCTCGGTCTCTCAGTTGCTTTGGGTAAAGTCATCAGTTGCTCCTTTTGGTGCATGCTTAACCACTCACTTAAAAACAATGCTGAGGGTGACACAATATTTCCTTAGATGATCACTGCAAATACATTGGATAGTGTTGAATGCATTGAGTGAGCTGCACTTGAATTGTACGGAATACATTTGTTGTACAGTACATGTGGTATTCCAGTAAAGAGCGAAAACTTGGATATAATCTTGTCCTATTAAGACCAAATTTGAAATGGAATTTAACTTAGTTCTGGTTCCTCGTGTTTTGCAGCGGCTGTTTTTGTAGTTTGCTTGGTCATTACCATGAGGTTCGTTACTGCTCTAATCCTTGATTTTGGTTACCATTTTTCGTTACAAATGACATGATACTTCTTGGTGTCTGATGGAAAATCCAAAATTAGGACTACCAGGTTTTTAAATCTGAGAACTTTGCATGTGTCTGTTGTGCAGTATTTCAACGGCTATAACTATCATATTTGTCATCTCAATGATAATTGTTGATCTGATGGTGAGTTTTATGTCTTCCTATTTCTTCTAAAATCACCATACACCTACCATTTACATGCTTTGAGGAATGTGGTACTTCACGTGTATGCATATTGCTTTAAGAATGAATAGATCTTCCAACTATCGAGTAAGTTGGCCTGTCAAAGCCAGACATCATGCAGTCGTGACTTTTGGTTTACACTACTAATTTTCTCAACTTGCTGATTATTTTGCGCTGTTTGTAGGGCCTCATGGTGATATGGAACATCCAACTTAATGCTATATCTGTTGTGAACCTGGTGATGGCTACTGGCATTGCCGTCGAGTTTTGCGTCCACATCACTCATGCCTTCACTGTAAGCACCTCTATTCTTTTTTGGGGATTTCCTTCGAAGATATACTTCGTTTTCCTGCATCAATAAATAAATGGAAATTCTGGTAATCTAAGCTCATTGGCTAGGGTCATCAAATACGGCGTGTGCAGATGAGCACAGGAGATAAGGGAGAGAGAGCAAGTAAAGCTCTTGTTCTGATGGGAGAACCAGTCTTCAGGTACATTTCCCCAAAGAAAAAAACGTTATTGCATCTTCTCCAACATAGCCGCTTTTTCGCGTGAAGTTCATATTAATAAGTTGTTGAAGTCATTGAGAACCAATTTTTTAAATTTCTGCAGTGGAATTACTCTTACGAAAATGGTGGGAGTTTTGGTGCTAAATTTCGCACAGTCTAAGATTTTTAAGGTCAGTGATCACCTACATTCCTTTCTTTTTAGCTTACCACAACTTGTCTGCTGCTTTTATACCTGGGTACATGATGAAAAACTTGCAAGTCCTGTGCAGAAGAGAGCTAATTTTATCCCTCAAATTGTAAATTTCCAGGTGTACTATTTCCGGATGTACCTTGGCCTGGTTGTTCTAGGCGCGTTGCACGGGCTTGTTTTCTTGCCCGTCTGGTTGAGCGTGGCAGGTCCTGACCCATTAGTTGAGCAAAAACTCCCTTCGCTGTGTAATCGTTTCTGGCGATCTGTCGCCACTCGCCGGCCTGGTTCAATAGGCACCGACTCTGCAGGAAAGTAAAAGGAACAACAAGTGCATATTATTTTGCGTAAATTATCTGATATAGGTAACGTTCTTTGTCGATGGTCGAAGGAGGAATGAGAGCAAACGAACGAAGGTGATCGGTGGTAAAGTGCATCTTCTCACTTCCCTTGTGTTTCAGGGTTTCACTACATTGCCTGTCTGGTTGATTCGCCTCATCCATGGACTATGTGACTGCCTAGCATCCATCACTTTCAGGCTTATATATTGTGAATCATGGCCTTCATTTTGTATACTAGTCTGTTCCAGATTCCAGCTATATTAGGTCTGTAATAAGCAAGCGCGGTTGTTGAGTTTCTTCATGTTGTCTAGCAAGGTCGGTATTGGGTGCAGAATGCTCTTCCCTTAACACGATGACAATTTTGTAGATAGAGTGGTTTTTTGCATCAGAATGAAATCCTGAATGTTACGTGGAATAAAAAGTTTATTAGAAAAACAGCTTTAAATACTGTCTCTCAAGAAATGCCTTTTATTTATCAATTATTTACCTTGGAAAAAATTCATAATTTTTGTAATCACAATGATGAATTAAACTTGACTTTAAATAATTTAATTCCTCTATTTTTTTGTTTATCAAAATTCAGAAAATATATTAAAAGATCAATAAAACAAGTCATATATTCTTCTACTATTTCATTATTTTTTATGTTAATTTTTATTCTCTTATTTTATATTTTAAAAGAATACATATCCAAAAAAAGATTTGATATACTTGAAATATATATTTTTACCACTAAGAAAAATAGAAAATGATAAATTAAAAATTTGGATGAAACTTATTAAAAATTACTTTGAAACTATCGTTGTCACTTAAATCACTTTGTTTATTAAAGATCCTCTTATACAACAAACAAACGAACATAATCCGAATTGAGGACATGAAGATGGCACTAGTATACTACACTATAACACCTTATTTGTTAATGTAGCTTATTATCTTGTAATTGCTAAACTACAATCCAAAGAATATATATAAACACATTTAATACAGTTCTTCTATCAAAAGATAAGAATCTACAACTCTACTAGCAACACCACAAAACTATATACATTGATGAAACTTGTGGGAGTTTGTAACAAAAAATATCATTACATTCACAATAAATTTGATTTTTTTTTAAATCAACACATAAAGAAATACACAAATAAATATATATATATATATATATATATATCAAAATGATTTTTAAATTATTACTATTAAATTTCGTATTTTCACATTTGAAGGCATCAAGTTCATTTTACATACTTTAGAAAGTTATAAAATTAAATTTAAAAAATAATATATACTAAAGTGCTAAGGTCCTCTTACTTCTAATGATGACAAATTGTAGAAGAGCTTCATGTGAACTAGCATGATCTAGTATATAAATTCTTCTATTATAAGTCTATAATCTTCATGGAATAATTTCACTAAAGAAAAATCTTGCACTATTTTTACACCATAAATATTTTGATACTCCCCTTGGCTATTTTAATATCCTCCAAAGTTGCTCATCTATTATTTGAAAATAGATGAGTGGATGACAAGAAGACAAGTGATAATAAAATATTTTATATTCTTAAACCAACCAATAAGCAACTTTAAAACCATTAAAATATAAATAAGATTATTGTATCTAAAAAAGTCGTCTAATTTTATGGTTTCAAAAATATTTATAAAAGATTGATTGTTTTATCTCAAACACAACAAAAATATATTATATTAAGATATTGTAATAATCTAAATATATTACTTGTAAAACTGAAATTAGAATATATATATATATATATATATATATATATATATGGCATTGCAAATGCCACCACAACATAATCAACATATTTTTTTAGTTAATTTTAACTCAATCAAAATAATTATTTAATCCAAAGGTTTCAAAGATATTGAACAAAGTGGCATGTGATGGGATTGCAATAGTAGTAGCAATACAATCTCTTGCAATTATTGAACATTATAGAAACAATATATTGAAACACAATAAAACATATGAGACCAAATATCAATAAATTGTAGATACTATAAAACAAATAAATGCTATACTAATTCTTTATATAGACTAATAGATTGTGGTGATAATAAGATGTTTTTGTTGTCCAAAATGTTACCAAATAAGAAAAATATTTGGTAATTGTAAATTCAAAAAATATACTATGAGCACTTATGCAAACTAATTTTCTCAATAAATGTTTTTTTTTCACAATACTCAATCAAATTATATAATTCTTTTGTTGTAGTGCAACCACTTCTGTTGATTAGATTTGCTGATTATAATTTCTGGAGAGATTGCTTAATAAACAAATAAAAGCTTTTTATCTTTATTATTATCACATACCATTATTATAAAATATAACATAATTTAAAGTAGATCAAAAAAAGAATATGTCTCATTTAAAATTTAAATTTTTTATTAAAATTATGAAAATACAATATATATATTTATAGAAAAATATGCAATAATTATTTAAATTACACTTTTGAAATTTTTAAAATAATCTAGACTAATAATGTTTGTAAAACTATTATGCAAGTTGGTTTAGAATAGTATAAAAGAATTTTTAGTTGTATTGAAAAAAAATTATATATATATATATATATATATATATATATATATATAATTTAGTAGCATAATTTTTCTTTTCAAATTATGTCAAAAAAATTTAATTTTAGCCTTGGTGGTAAAACAAAAAAAAGCCATATTACTGCTTCAAATAACTTTTAGTATGGAGATTATTGTTAGATATTAGAAATTAAAAGCCAAATTATTTTTGTAAAAATATAAATATTAAAAAAAATGGCATTTAAAAAATCTAAAATATAAAAATTCTTTACATAATTTTAATAGTATTTAATAGGTAAGTAGTTATAAAATCAGCATGTATTTTTGTTTTTATTTTTTCAAGATTTTATATTATTAAACATACACTTAAAACGATAAATAAATAATTAAATAAAATAAATATTAAATCCTTGTACATTTACCTTGTATACAACTTAAATTTTATCCACTCTAACCAAATATTATTATATATTAGAAAGAAATTCAACAAATTTTTTTTAAAAATTATTAAATTTTGATCCAAAAATTATTGTATTGCACCAAAACACTCATTAATCTTTATTAATATTTTTTAATCTTTTTATTTTAAAATTTTAAAAAATATATAAAAGAGTATATATATATATATATATATATATATACTTCAAATCTAAACTTCTAATTAACTACAGTAAGGTTTTAGACATCTTAAAAACAGTCAAATAATGATTATTTTTACAACTTAATTTATCCATCATAAGCATAAATATACAACTGTGTGGCTTTTAAGTAAATAAGTTATTTTGTACAGCTTGTTATATTTTTTAAAATATGTAATTGTGTTTAGCAATTTAAAAGTATCAAATCATTAAGAGAGAATTTTAAATACATCATATGTTTTATCATCATATGATGTTTCAAGCATTGACCTTAAAGTCAAATAATTATTCTTAATCTAAATTTCCGTAATAAATTATCATGTGTGTACATATCTATATATATATATATATATATATGTATATACTAATTTTTGTGCTAAAACTTTGTTTTAATAGTCAGCAATTAGACTCATACCTTACTTCTATCACAATCTTTATTTTTGTTACTATAATATTTTATAAATAACTTTAATGTTGTTTTTTAATTTCTTGTGTGATATATATATATATATATATATATATATATATATTTACATACATCTTAGGGAGAAAAATCACATTCAATAAAATATTCCAAGAATGCAAATATGACCATGAAAGAAATCCAAACGTTTTAGAATATTTAGCTACAAAAACTAAACTTGTAATTTTAAGACAAATTTGCATCTAAATCCAACGTTATCTTTCTTTAAAAATGAAAATATTCAACGTAAGGAATAAATTCCTTTCATTTTATTGTAAATTATTTGTTAGTGATCTACAAAACATGAACATGCCATTCTTTGTTTTTTTATGGAATACTGTGAAATACACGCTATGCAAACAGTAGGAAAAGCACGTGTTTGTAATGTGGGTCAGGCTGGAAAATGTGTTGTATCTCTTCACAAGAACACACACAACAACTAGAGAGAGAGAGAGAGAGAGAGAGAGAGAAATCCTTTGTTCGATGGTAATCCCTGCATTGCAGTTTAGGTGCAGAAATCACGTTATGGATGGACAAAATTATGGAGACGGTGAGAATGATGGGACAAACACCATAGCCAGGATTCAGTGCACGAGAGCACACCCATGCAGACAGAAAACACTAACTCACAGACAGAATTGAGAGTATGTCTCAGGACTATGTATTTTTACATACTACTTGTGCGTATTCACTCGCAACAATGTCAGCACTCATGGGACCGAACTCCGTCACCCACTTTCAGAACACTTAACTGGAATGGAATTGTCCATAGAGTTCAAGGGCACAAGAATCTCAACGATCAAACTTATTGTGTTCGGCGGTGGCGTGGTCAGAAGCCGCATGACTTAGTGGAGATGCCATTGACGACTATGAAACAACCAGAGACTTCGGGCAGGCAAGCCTCCATGGCCAAGCAGCTACATCCTGCCACTCCCCCCACTTCGCACTCCACTTGTGTGTTTGAATGGCAGTTCGCCCTTATACCTGGCCAACAAGCTTCACAAAAACAACAACAGTCACCACCACCCTCCCTGCTAGATCTCCACATTCCATGTAGCAGACTGATCGCATGATCCTCAGAAACTGCAAGGATCAGGTGACTAGTGTGCTCCAAATCATAAGACCAACTTGCATGAAAGCGGAACGTGGTATTACTCTGCTTCAATGAGCGCCCATGGTGTTCCAGTCCCGCTCCGTCCAAACGAACTCTGCTGCTCCCGGCCATCTCTGCCACCAAATTTAACCACGTTGTGAAACGTCATGAGCACGGTGATGACTAGCATGGATGACCAGTGCATGCCAGGAGACAGGAGTGATTTGTTTTCTTTTAGGGAATCAGACTTCCTACACCTTGACAACGAATGTATACAGAATCGAAAGAGTTTCCGTACGAGCTGTGAACAAAAATGTCATAACCATAAGCGCTTGTATCCATCTCAGTTGGCTGGTGGCCATGATGCGGGGAACGAGGAAGAGCTCTAAATTAAGTCACAAACGAAGATAAAAGCCATGCACTTGTGCGATTACATCTTGGCCGCCTGTGAGCTACAATATTGTGGGTCGTGTTTTATACTGTGGGCGTGTGGCAGTTTGGTACATGAGCTTTTAGTGACCGTATGGGACGGCAACCAACCCTGCAGAAGAAAATGTCGCCACGTAGCGAAACTGAAATGGAAACATTCTGTCAACAGTCCTTTCTCGTGCAATTCACAATGTGCTCTAAGATATGAGAGTACACCATATATAAAAATTCTATCTACCCTTCATATCTACCCATTCTTCATTTTCAATTAGACAAGTGCAGGACAAGGTTGATGCATTGTACATGGCATCATCACCTACTGAAATACTGAATACTCTGAGTTTGTTCACGGAATTGATTTGTGTGACGTTCAGGTCACAGTTGCTTGCTCCGCCACCAATGCAGAATGTTCTATGACTGTTTAGCAAGAACTTAATTCTGTGACAGCTACTGTGAATTCGTTGCGGATAACCACCTTCAATTAAGTCGGATTAGTTGATATGAGTAGCACTGTCTGACGATCCGCTATGTTACCCTTGATCATGCAAGCAATAACTAGTTCGAACTGGTTTCGTTTTCATTTTATTGGGTACAAGAGGGTCTTGGTTATCAACTGTCAATTTGCACAAGGATTCCTTCGGAGTTATCATCGGAAATACCGAGCAGTCTACATTTACCATAACAACGAGCTCATTCCAAATATAAAAAGTGTCATTGCTCTGTCAGGTGATCAAACGTTGTTCGGATTCCGCAAGTCTATGCTAACGGAATCTACTCGCGAACCGGATATACAAGCTTGAGAATTCTGGACTCAGATTGTCTTTCATGATTCTAATGCGAACCATGACATCCACCATGGGCTCCACGAAGCCATGTCAGGGGCACGCCAGTCCAATGCCTCCATACCCTGCACAGTATGTTCCAGTTCGACAAGTTGGAAGAATAGGCTATCTGGAAACAACTTGCAACATCCGCCAAACAGCCTCAAAGGTCTCTGTGTGAGGTATACTCCTGTCATTGGCCCTCAGATCCTAAAATTCAGGCCGATCGATGTAGTTTTCACTAAATTTGTAGGAGGCAGATTAACAATTGCCTTCACTTTCATATAACATGGTAAAGACCAAGCAATTCTCGTTGGAAATACTTTTTTAAAGCCTCGCAACATCGGACACAAGAATATTCACCGCTTAATCTGGACCAAAAGCCTACATTGTATGGCATTGCTCGTATTGCTGGCCAAACAGATAAAATTGTAAGTTAAGCTACAGGGTTCTACCACCAGACAAGAGAAGGATCAACAGACCTAAACCTAATTCAGGGCATTCCGTTTGAATGTGAAAGAGCTTAGCTGTCTAAACCTTGTGATCTGTGATGAATCTGGACAATTAGCTGGCTAGCCACAGCACACTGCAAATAGAATGAAAGGATTTGAGATTGGGGACACATTTCTCCGACACGAGATATTTGACAAAAAATAAATAAAATGCTTCCTGTGAAAGCCACATTAATGAAGTTTTTTTTGTATGTGATTTCTCCTACCGTCGTAAGTTCTTCGAAATCAATCACCCCTCCAAAACCTGGCAGCGAGAGCTGACCTTAGAAAGGGGATCCTACCTTTATGTACAATCAGTTCCACTAGGAGCTGTAAAAAATAATTCTACTTCCAATATGTTATTTTCTTCAATAGGGACCAGACAAATGTTTTCAAGTGTGCAACATGACTGTTTCAATATCAAAGGAGCAAAACATCTACTGAGGTTTCTTAGCTAACTAAGAGCACGTGTGGTCAAGAATTCTCGAGCCGGAGCATTGCTCACTGAAACCCATTCTGAAACCCATTCTGAAGGGGCTCGGCCAAAGTAAGCCGATCGAGTTGATATATTTACCAGAGTAAGGCTGGAGCAATCGAAGAGAACTTTTCAACTGGTGAGGACTGCTCCAACACAAGTGCAGCTTGGAAGCTCTCAGCAGCTTCATGCCTTCGCCCCTCAGCCTTCTGCAACATGCCCATGTGGTACCAGGCCTCCTCATGGGTGGGCTCTGCTTCTAAGGCTTCAGCAAGATAACTCTTCACCACTGGGATTGCTAACACACCATTTACTTGCCAAAGAAGAGCACCAAGCTTAACTTTGCTGTCAACATACGTTAAGTCTACAGCGAGGGCATTTTTATGACATAGGATGGCTTCTTCCAGTAGATCCTGCTCCTCACGAAGCAATCCTACAAGCCCAAACATACATGTGAGATAAGACTTGAGAAACATGAGCAATTAAACAGGAATGACAAAAATTAGACTCTTCTGAAGGTCCTGGATTTCTTCTCTCTATCAAACCAGCACATGATTTCAAGACCAATGAAAGGTTTCAAAAGGGCTTCGGTATGACATCAAGTGCATTACTAAGTCAAGTGTAGATTCTCACCATTGTAATGCCAGTTGGCTGCAGAATAAGAGTCGAGCAGTACTCGAGCTTTCTCAAGACATGTTTCAGCATCTCCCCATTGCTTAAGCTGTATGTACACCTGAGCTAAATCATGCCACACATCTGACTCTTCTACCCTTTGACCCCCCTGCACATTTGCAATCCAATTCCATTCGTTTTAGGGGATATATCACACCATTGCACTTCAAACAACCAGAGTCAAGCAATCAATTGAATTAATTTAGTGTATGACCTTTCCCCTGCCAATGGTACCAAGTTCGTGCTCCTTTTTCTCCTCTTGCAACAGTGCAAGCAAGACTTGATAAGTTTTGACTGCAAGCAGATGCTGTCCCAGGGCTAATTGGACCTTAGCCCGAGTTCTTAACAAGGGCCCCTGCTCCCATGGAGATGTCTCCTCCAAAGCAGACTCCAATATTACATCCGCTTCGGCATGCCTACCTTGAGCTGTTAGCACCAAAGCCAAAAACCTCCATCCATGAACACGTGCTCCAGCTCCCCGATCAAGGCAATATTTGGCGCAATCTAATGCTAAGCTTGATTTTCTTTGATTAGCAAGTTCAAGACCAAGGTCAAAAATGATGGCAGTGTCTCCTTTGTCAAGAGCAGCAGCTTCCTGCGAAAAGAATATGCTGTGAAACTTTGAATTGTAAGAACTAACAACGTTTGAATAATTGCATCACATTGTAAGTGAGATCGCAATTACACATGGTCAGAAAAGTGGAAAAGCAACTCACTTGTAATGCTTCAAGGGATTGTCCGTGCAGCTTGGTTTTCATAGCATCCGACGGCGTAAGTTGGACTTGTGAACTAAGTGCAACACCCTGAATATGCAATGCACAAGCTCGGTATGATACGGCGCCTCGGGGCAGGCTCGACATAGCGCGTTGTGTATACTCGACCCCTTCACCACAGAGCTCAGGCTTACCAGCACACAATTTGGCTGCCAAGAGAAGCGAAGGCACGTCCTTGGGTTTCTCCGATTCCACTAGGGATTTCCGCATAAGGTCTAGTGCGACTGAGTTTTGTCCAGTTCCAGCATAACAGAGCGCCATGCTGTACCACCGATCAGGTCGAGACAAGGTTCCTGGTAGAAGCGCCTCGTACTGGTGAGCAAGTGTCTCTAGTTGGCCACATATCGACAAGGCAAGGGAGAGATGCTCAAAAACAGTGTAGTCAAAGTAGCCTTGCTCTTTGTTCATTATGCGAAGAAGTATCATCAGAAGCAATACGCCCTCTTCGGTATTGTCTTTTGGGGTAAAGGCACCCTCCACGTGGGCCCCCAAGCTCGCACGAGGAGCCTCAACACCCCCGTACAGAAGCAAGATTGCAAAGCTTTTCATGATGTGCACCAGGTCGTGGGAATCTAGACACCAGGAGAAACGCAAAAGCGAACGCCGATATGCTACCACTGCATCGCTGGTCCGATCCATTTCGAGAAGAATCTCAGGTAGCAGCTTCACGGATTTCGAGAGCATTTGAGCGATCCTAGTATTTCCCCATTCATCAGGCAAACCCGCGGGTGTTGCTGTCTCCATCGTATCAAGCACAAGTTTGCATTCTCGGGTAGCGTCTGCAAATGGTGACCTGAAGGTGTGAGCTCCTAAACTTCACGAATCAACGTAGTTTGAGCTTGACAACTGCAGCAACTAGACACAGAGATCAGGACCATAGCAATACTTGTCGGAAATTTCCATACCCGAGAGCCGCCCAAGTTCCTGCAAGCACTTGGCTTTGAGATATAGCGCCTCTAGAAGCAAACTGGCACCATGTAAGAAAGTGCCAAGAGCATCAGTACCCTTTGCAGGTTTTCCTTTCTTCTGCTGTATTTTGGAATCTTGGATGAAAAATCGCAAGCTTGTACCGAAGTTGTGAGCCTGAATGTCTTCTAAAACTTGTAGGGCTCCTTCGTAGTTTCCCCTATCGTACTCTAGACGACCAAGCAATGCTCGTGCCTCCTGTTGAAGTCCCAGACAACAGTGCTCAGATATGCTAACACTACAATCGAATCGTCGACGCAAGAATATCATCGTTGAAAAATCAAAGACCAACCCTGGCGGATGCAAAGGACAAGATGTACCTCATTATTGATGGAGAGTGCCTCTCGGAGGGAGACCTCGGCTTCTCGGATGCTACCTTGCAGAAGCTTCAGCTCGCCGTCTCTCAACTTCTCAGAAAGCTGTCGAGAAACATTTCGAACCCGAAGTTGAGGAGTCAAAGAGCCCCTATTTTCATCGGACTTGAACTGATTATTGCAAGTGCACAGCATGGTTTCAGCTTCAAATACTCTCGCTGACCTGCCGCCTTTCAGTGCGATCAACTCCTTAGAGCTTTGCAGTTGTTGCAACTATCACAGCCAAATCAAAACTACATTCTCAGCATCCTTGCTATTATCCATCATCAGGCACCCTCGTCCACATGTTCTTGCCCAACCTAAACTGTTGCGATTCCATTGTCCTCGACTGGTGTATGAGAACTAAAACAAGTCTTCCACCGAGGCTTGAAACCGAGCAATCGAACCACGCCCGACAATGCAGCCTCAGAAGCTGAAGGTGGGGACATTATCGAGAGGGAAAAATCAATAACCACTCATCTAATCTTCTAATGCAAGATGAGGCCCTCTCTACAAAAACTACACATCGAGTGCCCATCGACAAAAACCACACCATCGACCTAAAACATGCCGAGTCCCTACTCTCACTCAATATATAATATAAATATAAATGTATATAATAACTAAATAAAATTTTAAAAATAAAAAATAAAAAAATAAACCGCAAAACACCCTCCCACAAACCACGAAAACCTCGATCTTCGCCAAACAGGGTTGGCACCTCAAACCCCCCAAGAATCAGAAGAGAGAAAGCGACAACCAACGATTCTCAACACGTTAGCACCTACAAAGTAGGCTTGTATGATGGCATCCCTCCAGTAAAGGAAAGGAAAGTGAGAGAAAGTCTAGGGGGACACACCACACGGAGGAACGGAAAGGGGAAGAAGCATGTGCACAAATCTGCTTCGAAGACTACCCAAAAATACACACACACACATACACACGGGGACCAACAGTGCAACACTACTGCTGCGATGTGGCATGTAAATCAAAACATGGGAGAATGAGACAGCGAGGGACGGAAGGGAAGAAATAATGCAAAGGAGGGATCCTAAGCAGAGAAGGAGGAGGGAAGGAAGGGCCGGCTTGGATCTGGTAACAATAAGGACCCCCACTCGCATGGAATCAAACCAAAACAAAATCAAAATCAAAACAAACGCCCTTTCCTTGCACTGGAGCTGAGTTATGCCCTCGCTCACTGTCTTGCCAGGGAGCACATTACCCACTTATTATTATTGTTGTTGTTTTATGATTATTATTATTATTATTATTATTATTGTTGTTGTAATTAATGTGTGTCTGTTGCTTTGTAATGAGACCCTGCCATGGGCACCCATATCCATCAAACAAAGTGAGCAATTTCTCTTTTGGGATTGAGCCGACAACCTTTCCGTACTAACTTGGTATGTTGCTATTCAATGACATTGTCAGTTGTATTCAAATGTTTTGTGTGGAAGTTTCAGTTTTCTTTCCTTTTTTTTTGTTGGTTATTTATTTATTTTCTATTTGGTTATAGATTGGACTTTCTAGTAAAAGCCAATGCTGTTTAATGGTTCTGCTACAAGTGGTGTTCCATAGAAATAGAATAGTGATGTTTACCTTCAATGAGTTGTGGATGTAGTCGAAGTATTACTTTCATTATTCTTTTCTTGTGCATAGTATGTGTAAATGTTTTACATTCCTCCATCAATATATATATATATATATATATATACATGTATTTCTTTTATGAACAAGAGATTCTTATTTTTATTTTTCTTCAAAAAACATTGTGGTTTGAGATAATTCTGTGAAATGTATGCTTGGTGAAATTATACAATGCACATTCTATTCATCAACATAGTTCTTTTTAACTACATGGATTTAGAACAAATACAATTAAGTTTTCAGATGGTTTACAATATAGTCAAAAAATATAAATATAAATATTCAAGAGACGTCTTGAAGTATTCATAAAAAAGTTATTATTATTCAATCTTAGAAGAAGAGGGGGGGGATATAGAAGGAAAGAAATAAAGAATAAAATAATGAGGGATTTGTTTAAACTACAAATGAGATCTTAAAAAAATATAATATTTTTAGGAAATTAATAAATTTTGAATTTTTAGTTGTAAATGTTTTATAAAATTAGTAATTAATCTGATCCTGTGCACTAACTACTAGTGTCTTTTGTGCATTTAGATAGCTTAAAAGTACACCATGGTAGTGAAAAATATCAATACGCTGAATTATTGCCTAAACAATTACCATCACATAAATTTTATAGCTTTATCAACTTAATTATTTATAAATAATGGTCTACACTTTTTATAGATTCTCTCTCTCTCTCTCTCTCTCTCTCTCTATATATATATATATATATATATAGAGAGAGAGAGAGAGAGAGAGAGAGAGAAATAAACATAATTTTTTTAGTATATATATACTACACGCCTATCTTGATGGTTACATGTTATGTCACAAAATGCATCAAAATTAACAATTTTCAAAGAAAAAATTACTGCATAAATAAATACATTTTGATCAAGATAAAGATTTTTTTAATTTATTGTTAACTTTTGTAGCTAATTTATAAAGACACCTTAAATGTTTATGTACAAATCTTTTTGCATTATTTTGTTACAATCTACTATTTCTTTACCTTTTATCATTAATAAAAATAAACAATAAAATTCATTTAGTACCATCTTCACAACTATCTTTTAAAAATTGATATCTTGTAAATACATACATAAATATTTAAATTTGAATTTGAATTTTATCTTTTTATATTTAAGACTTCACTTAAGGCATCTACAAATTATTTTGTCTTATTTAATTTGGTTTACAAACATTTTCAACTAAGTTCTGAGTATTTAATTAGGAATAAACAAGCAAAAAAAAAAATTAGGAATCTATCTCTAATAGGTCCTACTATACAACATAGCTAATGGATGCAAGTTCAATAAACCCTCATAATTTGCTCAAGTCTATTAGGACATTGCAAAACAGAGTTAAGCAATCTAAATTTTTTCCAATCACAAGAATCCACACTTCAATATGAAAAACCTTAACTAGTTATATTTAAGAGTTGAAAATGTTTAAATAAAGTAAAAGGCAAAAAAGTAAGAATTGATAGTAATTTTTTGAACCTTAATAAAGATAACATTTAATATTAAAACAGATATTTTTTTGGATATTACTTAGTTGTTGAAATCTCAAAGCAATGATTTTAATACCATACAGTATGAGATAGAATCAACACTCAAAAACATTATAGAGTTCCAAAAAAAAATTATACTAAATTCTTTACTTTACATAAAATAGATGCTAAATTCCACAATAGAGTAAATGTAACTATTTTTAGAGTTTTTGTTGGATTTTGTTTACCATCAAAACTTAGACAAGTGCAACTTTTTCAAGGTGTAATAGCAAGGTGCTCCAACAAAATGGATTTCATTCAACTACTTTGAGCATAATTTATATAATCATTATTTTAATGTAATTTTTTTAATAATATATAATAAATATAATATCTATAAAAGATTTATGGATCTAATTAAACCTCAATTTTTTATTTAGTTACTAGTGATTAAACCCATTGGCTTTGCCAATATTGAGTACGTTTTTAGCAGCCAATCAAAAAAAAAAAAAAAAAAAAAAAAAAAAAAACAACAACAACAACAACAACAACAACACAATATAACATACCTTACTGTGATTAAAAACACATTATGCCTCTTATTGCTCTAGCCAATAGGATTTTTTGACACTACATATAAACATAGGGTGCTTGGTTTTTATGTGTGTGTGTATAAATATATATATATATATATATATATATAATAACGTTTTGAAATTCATATACCATTTTTCCTTATGTAAAAATAATATCTACACTTACATTATAGTTATATGCATTGTTTTATATATATATATATATATATATATAATAACGTTTTGAAATTCATATACCATTTTTCCTTATGTAAAAATAATATCTACACTTACATTATAGTTATATGCATTGTTTTATATATATATATATATATATATATATATATATATATATATATTAATGTTATTTATATTTTAAATTATTTGTTAAATACTGATTTTCTATGTTGTAGTCTTTTTAATTTGGTTTAATAGTATTTGCCAGAAAATATTCAAAACCTCTCTTTTAGAAATTTTAGCTTATATAATGGCATATTTGCTATACATAAAACAGATATGTATGATATATAATCTTTAAAATAGTTATAAATTTGTTATTATTAAGGATATTTTTATTAGATTTACATGCAATATACACATAAATATCAACAAAAAAATTGCTCCAATTTTTTGGCTTCTTTTTCATCAGAAATTAAAATTTACAATTAGAGATTGTTAATGTTAAATAATAAAAAAATTCCAATTCTTATAAAATACATAAATTTACTAATAATTTACTATAAATAGTTATAAGACTTTATAGAGTTGATTAAAAGAATATCATAGAAACACTATAATTTTCTTCTAAAATATTTATTTAATAAAAATAATAATCCAAAACAAATAAAAATAAAATATCTCAGAATTTCGTACGCATATTTTTTTTGATTATTTTAACATTGTAAAATACATAATCATAGAAAAAAAATTGCAACATAATCAAATGCTTTATCTTTTTTTTTCTTCTTTAATTCTCTGATTTTCATATTAAATATATTTTTATACTAAAATTATTTCTTCATTAGTTATTTTTACATTCCAATTTTAATTTATTCTTCTTTAATATTGATATTATAATTTTATTTAGCATACAATTTTTAATTTTAAGATTAAATAAAATTAAAATATTTAAACTTCTATTCTTTGAAAAACAAATATTATGATAATTATTTTCTTAAAAACATTTCTTCTACCATTAAAAAAAAGGCACTTCTTTTATTTACTTACATTAAAAGTTGAAATCACTTTATTCAAAAAAATTGAGTTATTTTTTACTGTTATTTTTTAATATTTTATACATCAAAAGTTATATACTATATTAAACATCAATGTATTAGATAGAAAATAAGAGTTTTAGTTTTCAGTTCTTTTTCTTGCTCAATGTGAGTGTTTGCACATTTGAAGAGATAAATTTCTTGTTAAATGTAAGAATTTATGTGTGATTATAAAACTAATATATTTCTATTTCAGAATTTTCAAAAATAAGTATAAGAAAAAAAACAAATTAGCTTGCTAAAGTCCTCATAGCAAAATTGTCAAAAATAAAAATAAATAAATACAAACTAAAGTATTATTAATATATTTATAAATTGTATTTTTAAGTATTATAGTTTGGTAGCGATGAAAAAATGAACTGTATAGTCTGAAAATATAAAGAGATTATTTAAAAAGTTATGTATGATATATTATATTAATAAATCACATAAAAATTATAATTAGTTTTATTATAAGAATCCAATCTAAGTGAAAAATAATATTTATTTATATATATCATAGAGTAAACATTATAATATTTTATAGTTCTATTATCAATATGATACATTACAAATCAAATAAAATATTTGTAAAAAGTCAATGTAACTTCATGAAGTTAAAATATCTTAAAAATGTTTAAAAGATGTCGTAGAATGGCACAGCATATACTGTTAAAAAAAGTAATACAAGAAGTAAAGAATGCATTATTATATGATAAATAAAATTTACTTAGAATTTCAATAATCATTCTTTAGTTATTAGTTTCTAAATCAAATTTATTAAAACATATATAATTTAAATTTGATAAGTCACAATTTAAAAAATTATATAAATTTTTATAATTTTTTTGTAAATACATATTAATATCAATATATAAAAGATAGTATTATTTAATTTTAAATTGATAGTATAATATTCAAATTTTTATAAAAGATTAAAATCACAATAGATGTTAATTTTTTTATTAAGTACAATAAATTAAAATATAAAATCAAGCTTTTGAAAAAATACATCTACAAATATAAAATAAATACTCTTATATATATTTACATATATCAAAATATAAATTAAATAAATTTTAAATAATACATAATCTATGTAGTTAGACATATAATATAACAAGTGCCATAAGATTTTATATTTATTTTCTTTTATAATATTAATATTTTTATGTGGTAATTTTTAAAACTAATAATA